ATATTTAAAGGATTTGCCACTGACGATTCAAACGCGAGTTTTGAGCAGTGTAGAGTAGCGCTTGTTGTCATTTCTCCGATCACAAATGCAGGCATGGTTTTACGTTTACGCAGTGCGATGCGATGCAACGCAACACGTAAAAAGACAGTACAAGTCATTATAATCCGTAATTATGTCTCCACTGGATGCAACAAATGCCTCGTTTATAATGGGCTTTATTGTTTTTGTCTTGTCGTGCTGGGACACAGCATCATAGTATGTTAAGGGGCGTAACATTTCCGTCACACGCTTGAGGTATTCAAGGCAAGGCAAGGCAAGGCAAGTAATAGTTCACCTCAAAAATGAAAATTCTGTCATCATTCACTCATCCTCATGTAATTCAGAATCAGAATGAGCTTTATTGTCAGGTATGTTTACACATATGAGGAATTTGTTATAGTGACAGAAGCTCCACAGTGCGACAGAATGACAGTGACAAGACAAAACACAGATAATAAAAAGAATAATATACAAATATACAAAATAGACAATGTGCAAAATGGCAAAAACACAATATACAAAATAAACAATTTAGTATGTACAGGTGTGTAAGGTGCAAATTAATATGTAAATAAGTATGTGTATTAAATAAATAAATTTATAATAGTGTTGTGTGTTCTACATTTATTGTCAAGTGTTCAGATGGATTGCCTGGGGGAAGAAACCGTTCCGTTTACATTATCGGGTAGGTTTAGGGTTGGGTTTAGTGTAGGGCATATTTCCAACGTGATAGAGCATTAACTTTTAGCGACAGTCCTTGGATATTTGAATTCTGAACCGCCGCAATACATACCTGAAGCAGCGGAATAAACACAGAAATATGTACCTATATCAACATAATAAAAACGTGCCAGGGTTCACGTATTGAACCCGTGTTTTAGCGCCACTCAGTGGACATTTCTCTTTGAAACTGAGGCGAAACGTGCAGTAATGTACGTAAAAACGGTGTTGCAGAAAAGTACCCAGAGGTACGGATTTTTATGAGACCAGGTTGGCTCAGTGCTCTGTAGCGCCGACTAGACGGCAACAGTTCAAAGAGGGAGTGTGCTGGATGTGAGGGGTCCAGAGTGATTCTGCTAGCCCTTTTGTTCACTCTGGATGAGTGCAGTTTGAAGCGTTTGATCAGCGCCGCTGCTCCACTAACTACGATGTTCAGCAAAACGTCCGAACAGTCGAAAACCGGTAGAAGATTTTGTGGTGTGTTCTGCCAAATGTTCAGTAGTTCATCCCTGGTAAAACTGATCATGTTTGAGAAACATAAAACAGGAAAAACTAACAAAAACACAAAAACAATTGGAGAGCCAAGCACCGTGGCTGCCATGTGAGATGCCATCTTGGTCCCAAATCTGTATAAGAAGATATTTTGAAGAATGCTGAATCAAACAATTGTTGGCCCCCATTGACTTCCATAGTAGGGGAAAAAATACTATGGAAGTCAATGGGGGCCAACAACTGTTTGATCACCAGCATTTTTCAAAATATCTTCTTTTGTGTTTAACATAAGAAAGGAACTTATACAGGTTTGGAACGACATGAGG